TTTAGCAAAAAATATAAGAAAGCTATTTTAGGAGCTCTCTAAAAAATTTCAACTCCTACCATACTCCCTAATTTGAAGAGTCATAAATGTTATAACTCTTTTTTGATTGGTCCATCTCTATTAAAAAATAAAATAAAAAATAGTTAGCATTAAATAAAGGTTTGAAATACTCATTAAATAAGGCAGTATTAAATTATAGGGAGCCACTAGGAGTACTTTCTCTCTCCTCAGATTTAGGAGCTCCTAGAGGACTCCCTATTTTAGGAGGTGGATAGGGAGCATGGTTGGAGTTGCATTTTTACAATTCCTCCCTAAAATTTGTCTAAGGAGGTGGTTTAGGGAGCCCATTGCGGATACTCTCACAACCCTAGGATTGTATTTGCATTTAGTGGGAGTAGATGAAACTTAAAACAAACTTTTATTTAATCAACTGTTTTCTATTTAAACCAAAACAATGGGAAATTCTTAGGTGCAAGATGGGTTTTTATAATTCAGGATGAATACAGTACGTGTTGTTGACAGGTACTGGCACTCCTTAATTATCTAGTACTCAATGAAATTCGATTGTATATATCTTTTTTTTTTTTTTTTTTTTTTATAAAAATGTAACAATTAATGATTAATAAAGATATAAAGGTCTCTGAACTCAGATCTGTATTAGGCCTCACTCAGTGGAGAGGAAAAATGAAAAGCCAACCCCCTCAAGAACTCAGCTTTGGGTTAAGTGAAGATATAGAGATTCTGTATTTTCAGATATTACACTGCCCTATGCATAGTCCAGATTTCTATAAAATAAATTATCATTGGACGTTGGGTATTCAAAACCAGTGCAAAGACGAAGGAATTTAATATATTCAAATCTAAGTTCATCATGCCAAAGTTAACATTGAAAGTAGAAATTTATGTTTCATAGAAAGTTTTAAAAACAAAGATTGTTCATGATGAAAGTTAAAGAGAGAGACGGAGACAAAAAGCCAGAGAGATTTCAAACAATGTAATAGTGTTCAAGCAATGATGCGAATAATGTAGCCACTCCATTGTGTACAAATTTCTAGCCAAAGGGAAGAAAGGCCGTATTTGCATTTGGATCATTCAAACTGAAGGGGCTCTCTCCAGGATTCACAATGTTTTCAGCAGCCCCTGAGAACCGTTAAACCAAACTTTGTTACAGACGGAGCATGTGAACCTTGATGTTGTGATGCTATCTTAAACTAATTTCCTGCCAGGGTTATTATTAACTTACTATACAAATTCGAACTCCCTATTATGCATTTTGGACAGTTAAAACCAAGCGAGAACTAAACTCAAATGGAAAAACCAGCCTCTTTACAAGAATATTTAGCAAACATTTTATTATTCTCGTACAAAATGTACATCCTGTGCAATTCAAGATGGCGTAAAGGATTGGAAATGGCATTTGATATAATGCACTAAAAGTCGTATACTACTACAGGATTTGCAAAGAAATGGAAAAAGGCACAGTAATTACCAACAGTTTATGATTAGTTTAGAGTGCTGCTATTTCCACCCACCTGTTCTATTTCCCCACTCATCTTATTTTTAAAATTTCAAAGACAAATTTATCCTTTTCTAAAATGACTTCTAGGGACTCAAGGAAAAAAAGGATATTTTAGAAATAATTAAAGGGTAGGATATTTTAATATTATCTCTTAATCACTAAACAATTACCCTTTTTTTTTTCTATGTCCGACCCTCCGTCTTCCTCCTCCTCCCCTCACCCTCCTCTTCTCCTTGGAAATTCCATTATAGGTTTTATAATTATTAGTTATTGTATCCCAAACACACATAACAAAGTAATTATCTAAACCAATTATCTTATTTTTTTGGTGAAGAAACGGGGCTAACGCCCAACAAAGAAATTAAACAATGGCTCGAGGCCTACAAACGCCAAGTAAATCTTCACTAAGACCTAATACTAACAAGAGGATCATGGAAGGTTGACAGACCCAGCTTAAGACATGAACTCAATTCAGCTAATCTATCCGCCACCATATTGCACTCACGATATACTTGATGAATAGAAAAAACCCAGTTTTTGTTTATATAGTCTTGGCATCCCCACAACATAGTAGCAAGAGGATGAAGGTCATCCACATTTTTTGTTTAGCAGGTGTACCACGATCGCTGAGTCAGACTCAAGCACAACTGCACTGCAACCTATATCCCAAGCAATTTTCAGTCCAAGATAGATGCCCCATAACTCAGCTTCCAAGACGTGTCCTACACCAAGATTAATAGCAAAGCCTCTCATCCACTGCCCAGAACTATCTCTTAGTACACCCCCAGCAGCAATGCGTCCATCCTCACCTTTTCTGCACCCGTCGGTATTGATTTTAATTACCCCTTCATTCGAATATTGCCAAGAGAGCGCAGCAAGAAAGCGGGTGGGTTTCCTAGTTTTTTCAAAATTGGCTTGTGTCCAATATGCAGCAACCATAAGGATGACGTGTCTGGGGTTGTTAGGAAACACAAACCCATGATCAAAAAAATTTTGTTCCTCCATTTCCAAGGAAACCAGCACGTGAAAGCAAACATGGTTGACCACTCCACTATATAAGCCAAAATTGTTTATAGTGGAATACTCTGTCGTGTCCAAACTGGATGTAGGCATTGCCAAACCAGTATAAATTTTGGTGTTCTTGTTGTTGTTGTTTTGTTCTTTTTTTTTAAATCTCTTGCCAATAGTTTTATTTTCACTCACAGTTGGTTGACGCTTTCGCACAACAACATCATCTATATAATAAGCATTGATCGTTTCCTTCTCTTTTTTCAGTTTTTATTTTTTGGACATTGAAAAGCATTAACTCATCGCTGTTTTAATATATTTACAAACAACTAACACTATGTTGTAAAGATTAATAGTTAAGTTGTTGTTCATTTACTAAATAACATGTACTAATAGAGAAACGCTCAACTGCCAAGTCGGATGATCTCCATTCTGCCAAGAATGGAGGATGACAATGGAGGATGACAATCCGCCAAGAATGTATGTATCCGTTGGGATAGAGAAACGCTCAAGTGTGAACCGATTAATAAATTAAAACAACTGTAATAACTCATTTAGGCCCTTACATAAGAGACCGAATGAAAAATCTTTTAACCATCGAATAAAAAAGACTTGCATTTTTTTTAGGCTTATTATCACAAAAGGTCCCTAAGGTTTACGAAACTATCAGATTTCATCCTTAATGTTTTTTTGTGTCATTAGTGATCCTCAAGGTTAGTATGTATGATCACAAATGGTCCCTGCCGTTAGATTCCGTCAAAAACTCCGTTAGTTTGCTGATGTGGCATATATATATATATCACAAAATATCCCTGAGGTTTACACACCTATCACAAATGGTCCCTGCAAATTTTTTAAATTTAAAATTCATAAAATTTTGATTTTATTTTTTAAATTTTATGAATTTTAAATTATTTAAAAATATTTATTGTATTTTAAATACACATGACACTATATTATTTTAGATGTGGGCTCCACATAGATGCCACATCAACAAACTAATGGAGTTTTTAAAAAATAATTTAAAATTCATAAAATTTAAAAATGAAAAAATCATTTATATAAGGATTTTAACCTTAAGGACCATTTATAATCCCTAAACCCTTGGTTTTTTTCATTTTTAAATTTTATGAATTTTAAATTATTTTTTAAAAACTCCATTAGTTTGTTGATGTGGCATCTATGTGGAGCCCACATCTAAAATAATATAGTGTCATGTGTATTTAAAATACAATATATATTTTAAAATAATTTAAAATTCATAAAATTTAAAAATGAAAAAATCATTTATATAAGGATTTTAACCTTAAGGACCATTTATAATCCCTAAACCCTTGGTTTTTTTCATTTTTAAATTTTATGAATTTTAAATTATTTTTTAAAAACTCCATTAGTTTGTTGATGTGGCATCTATGTGGAGCCCACATCTAAAATAATATAGTGTCATGTGTATTTAAAATACAATATATATTTTAAAATAATTTAAAATTCATAAGATTTAAAAAAGAAAACCAAAATTTTATGAATTTTAAATTAAAAAATTAAAAAATTTCGCAAGGACCATTTGTGATAGATGTGTAAACCTTAGGGATGTTTTGTGATATGTATATATGCCACGTCAGCAAACTAACGGAGTTTTTGACGGAACCTAACGGCAAGGACCATTGTGATTATACATACTAACCTTGAGGACCACGAGTGCCAAAAAAAAAACATTAAGGATGCAATCTGATAGTTTCGTAAACCTTAGGGACCTTTTGTGATAATAAGCCTTTTTTTTATTGTATCATAAATGTTCATTTAGCCAATAGCCACGTAGGATGGCTGAAGGGTGCAAATTATAAACCCCACATATTAGTACTTTAAAAAGAAGCTTGCATTGCAGCGACTTAATCAAGAATCTAGGACCATGGCTTTTCTTTGTGGAGGGTCATCGTTTATGCTTACCAAACAATGTGGTAGGGTTTAAGACAGCAAATATGAATTATTTACTTTAAGATCCATCTTCGTCATAAGTATACGAACAAAAATACTAGCTATATCACATTTATATACCACTTTGTGTATCACATCTATTAAAAAGGTGGTATGCTTAGCATGCCCGCTAGGGACTCCCCACTTCTTCTCATTGGGCCTATTTCATGTACATAGATTGGCCCAAGTTTAGGGTTTCCAAGCAAATTGCTAGCATTATTGAGCTCATGCAACATTCCGAAACCAGCAACTACAACAGATTGACTAAAAAAAACACGAAACAAAAAAAGAGAATTGCAAACCAACTTGCATTTCGTTTTTCACAAGCCACCATTAATTGGATGATCATAGGCATATCAACATTAAATTAGTCACAAATCCAAATGCAGAGTGTAGAATATTGCGAAGATCCCGTTCACATGCATCGTAATGGGGACTGTTTAAACCACAAGGTTAACTCAATCTTGGGATCTGATCATGATAAAGATAGGTTTGCTAATTACAAGAGAAGTATAGAATTATATTAATCATAAAGATAGGACTGTATCATAAATGTTCATTTAGCCAATCATAATTCCAGTTCCTAAACTAAATTTAATAAAAATTATTCAATTTCATTAAGGGGTAAACGACGGCGTTTCCTCGCACTCACCGGCGTGCTTGAACTCCTGCACTTCCTTAAACCCCATCCAAGGCTTCACCCAGACTTTGGCTTCGTAAAGCTTCTTCTTACCAGCGTCGATTGCCTCGATCGTCAGATGGTGCAGAGTGCCAGCAACCACTTGCTCCTTTGCCTTCACCACCCTCACAAATTCAAGCAGAGCATTCTGCACAATTTTGAATTAATTTCTTAATTATCTAATTTATTGAAATTCCAGCATAATATTGAAGAAATTAAAAGGCAAAAAAGAGTAAAGACCTCCTTGTTGTTGTGATCTTGGACGGCGAAGCGAGCGAGGTCTTCGGTTTCGAGGCTGTTCTCGGAGGCATGGGATTCGTGGACTCCGCCGGGAGTGGTCATGTTTTGGAAATGGGAGGGATTGGATTCTTCTGCGAAGGATGAGAATGCGAGGAAAGGTAAGAGGACGAAGAGGATGAGTTGCATAAACAGACACAAGACGGAAGAAGAAGAAGATTTCGATTTCAATTTCATCTGCTTTTGTTTTGTGTTTGGGTGTCTGACACTTTGTAAGACAGATGGGAATTTATCTCTTTCGCTGCTCGGAGTCTTTTTGTAAGCGTAGTCTGTAAGCAAACAAAAACAAAA